AGGGTCGTTGCCCTCATCTGAGGGAAAAAAACCTTCCCCGCAGTAAAAACCAGATGTGTCTGGGGTCCGTTGGAGTGTTTTAGCCTTTTTGTTAGGAATCGGGGTGTCCCTGCCCATGTCTGACCCAGGTACAGCTCGCAGATAGACACCGAGAATGGGGTGAGAGTCAGGCGGTTACTGAAACTCTGGCCTCAGCAAAACGAAGTCGTGTGGGGCGGTGAGGTCTGGGGCAGCTGGGTCACCCCACCAGTGCCTGGGCAGGTCACAGCCGTATTTGTCACAAAGTATTTGATTCCTCCAATAAAGCAATGCAGTGATGATTTAATGACATATGGGCCGAGAGCTGAGGCCTGAGTTATGTTCATCTATCAGTTCAGCAAATGACTCTCTTCACGTGAGCTAGGGTGTAAAACTTGCATTTCAGTTCCTCTTTCAACTCAATCCTCTGTTTACCTTTATTCTGAAGTCTTTGAAGAGATTGACTTCACCTGGTGAAGTCTCATTTTGCTGCACATGTAGTTGCACTGCAACTGGATTGCTTGTGCAGTAGGAATTTGTAATTTCAGGTAACTGGCAGTGGCAGAGTTTGGACCCTGGAGAAATGGGATGGGTTTTGGTAACATCTGTCAAGGGTGCTAAAGGTTTTACTCTGTTTTTGGAATAGCATTTGAGATGAGAAATCTGGTTCTTTTTGTGATACAGAAGCACTTCAGTAATTCAGCTGTGTGATTTCATTGACTTCATGATTAAAAGTTATGGGTATTTTTATTGTACTGAGAGCTAAAAATCAGTCTCCATTCTGCAGTTTTAAAAGATGGTGAAATTTCATCTCATTCAAAACCAAAGGTAAAGCTCTGTCTTCAGTGGGACAAAGGGCTGACTGACAGAATCTGAAAAGGTAAAAAACATCCATCAGTGATCTAGTCCCCAGTCCCTGTGCCTATGACTTCTCAGAGAGGCTGTTGCGATGGTGGCTTCTTTTGTTGTTATACAATTTGGGTCTTGCAAAAATTTTTTTTTGTAGTCCCCATTTTCTACTTGCTTAAATGTCTTGGAGTACAGACAAAGATAAAGACTGCTAGTCACATTCTGTCATCATCCCCAAAGATAAAATTGTTTAAAGAAAAAAGTGTATGTTTCAGACTCTGTACAAGTTTGTTCCTCCATTGTGTCCAGTGCTGAAAAGTGAAACGTCCCAAGAAGGTCAGCTATTGACCAACCTTATACATTTAGAAGTGTATCTCCCAGATGTTTCTGAGAGGCAGAGTAGCAAACCTGTGGAAATACTTCATTGCTATTACAGAGGTTCTTTAATCCAGAAGAAATTAGCAGATTTAAAAAAAAATCTTTATTGAACAGTTAAAAAAGTAAAAATATTTTGTATTTAAAATAGAGCTAGGTGTACAATAATGCATAAGTATACATGAAAGTTCTATGCTGTAAAAACTGTGCATGTACATTGGGATATCAAGGCTTAGTGCTGGCTACGTGACCCACTCAAGACACTTCAGCTTTCTCTAGATCATTGGTTTCATTTGTGGAAAAGGTAGTTTTATGCAATACTTGGCCAGTGTTGTAGTGTGTTCTGCCACTGTGTGTTTCTAGGTTATATTTGACCCCAGGAAAAGGCACTCTGGGACTTGCACACAAAGTGTTTACCTTGGGCAAGGTGGTAACAAATGGTGGGACTTGGACAAGCAGTACAAGGAGACTGCCAGTAATTGCCCATGAACGTGCTTAAGTGTATGAATTCATCTAAGTGAAAAAGTCAGGAGAAGGCCGTGACCAGATGGCGAATTCTGCTCAGAGTCATCTTCCAGTGAAGGTGCCCTTGAGGACTCCTTCCCTGCTGCTGCCACCAGAACTAACATTCACTTTCCAGTATTATTCCCAAAGATCTCTTTGTCCAGAAAGATGTTGCCTTGTACAGTGGGGCCTGAAACCAAGTTCTTGTAAAGAACAAATCCCAAGGTGCTCTTCTCAATCTTGTGTGGCTGTAGTGGAGAGGATGAAGGATGGCATGATCCCCACCTAGAGACTTTAGGTGAATTCCTCACTCTGAGAGTAGGCAGCAGCAAGGGCCCTTTCCGTGCAACCATAGGTAGTACTTATGGCAAACATTTAGAGGTATGCCACTGTTAATACCTGTTTGGAAGCCTGTAACTCATAATTTCAGTAAAGATGAGGTCTCTCCAGCGGTTCCAGTTTGGATGCTGTCTTTAGGGTATTGGTGTTGCTATAGCTCCTCTGAGCTGCCCCAGATTGTGTGTTTGGATGGGTGGGCATTGCTTTGGAAATACAGAGTGTGTGTATGAACAAGCATTCAGCGGAGAAAGAGAATTTGTGAAGTGTTGTTGCCCTTATACCTGTTCCACAGTCATCCTTCATCTCCTTTTTTTTCAGAGTGTTACTGAAAAGGAAGCTGGGAAGGCAGAGGCAGATGGTACTTCCTGTGCTGAGAAGCACAGACAGCCTCATCCTATACTCAATAGACAGGTATTGTTAACAAAGTTTGAGATCATATTCATAAGCATATGTGCCCTCTCAGCAGAAGCCATAAGTGAACAAGAAGAGCTTGTTACCTACAGTAACTGATTTATTTCTCTTTTTCTTTTTCAGAGGATAGAGACTGTAAAAACAACTTATTATGAGCTTATATAAAATTAAGAGAATTTTCTCTTCAGGCAGGGGACCCAGAATGTGTTTCAGAAAAGCGAGAAAGACCTAAAACCTGAAAATGTGTGGATACATTTGGCTACCAAGATGAATATGAGAAGAGTCTCCCAGAAACAGATGCGCAGTATTTCAGGGAAAAAGAAGAGGCAAGTAAGTCTTGCTTTGAAAAAAATAACTGTTGCACTCTTTGTTATGTTGGAATGCATTTAAGGTCAAAGAGTCTTAAATGGTGGAAACTGTGGAGGAGGCTGTACCTACATTTCAGGTGGTCACCAACTGTTGTAGAACTAGGCCAGACATTACCAATAGTACTTGAAGTGGTTTTACATGACACTAGTTTATAATTCAATTAGTAGCTTTGCTCCATTCATACTTAGTGAGCTATATTTTAATACTGAGAGAGATGGATTCCATTGCTCTTATTCATGTTGAGTTGCAGTCAGTGGAACTAATTGTTGAATGAGGTATGCTCAGCATGAGGATGGGTGATGGAATCTAGCCCAGATGGAAATACCTTTTAAACTACTGCTGTATGAGAGAGCAGCCATCTCAACATAGGCAAACCTAGCATGTTGCTAAAAGTGCTTCCAGCCATCCTTGTGGCACACTGCAGTATTTTTACAGATGAATACAGAGGTTTTAAAGTGACCCCTTCCTCCGCCACCAAGTTGAATCATTTTAACAGAAAGACTGGGAACACATCTGCATTGTAGTTGTCTGTTCTGCTTTACAACACCAATACAGAGTAGGTGGGCTGATGCAGTTCTGCAGAAATGGCTCTTTAACTGCAGCTGTGTGTAGAAGTCAGAGTTCACTGAAAATGTTTCATTATGCAGTTTTCTGACACTTATTTTCATTCTGTGGTGTACTCTTCCATCTTCTGTACTAGGAGAAAAGTACTGCTGCAGTTTTGTATACATATGCAAAATCTCTTGGAGAAGAACACTAGGATGCCTACGTGGTGAACTGAGGAACACCATATAGATGCAAAGTGCCATTTTTAACATTGAACTGAATTTATTTTCAAGCACAATAGGAGTATCACAGTATTACATAAAGTGTAAGACAAACTTTCAATGAAGCAAGCCCCAATTGCATAAAAGTTGTTCTATATAATGTCAAAAAAACCTCTCTGCAGGCAGCTGATCTAACCGGTTGCTCTTCTTATGTGACCTTGTTAGCCAGTGTAGAGAGAGAGGCACTCCTGTAGAGATGAATGAGAGGAACCTGGGACACCTCTGATCTTTAAACTGGCTGAAGTAAAGGCCTTAGGTATGGTGGTGCTAATTGCCCCCCTAAATTGAACACTGCCCTAATTGACATGCAGAACTAATCAGTGGCTGCTGTTAAGTGTGCTGCGTTTTCACTAGGATCTTATTCCTCTACTGAGAGCCAAGAACAGGGAATACAAGAACTAGCAGTAGTACCATAGTAATACCATAATTTAGCCAGCTGAAATAGGAGTCTGTATGTAATTAAAGTGACAGTCCTAGGTTAGGTCTGGACAGAGCCCTAGAGCTAGTGTCTTCAGTGACACCTGCAAAATACACACTAGAACCTGTACAGATCACATCTAACAAGAACCCCTAATTTATGTCTCATCTGCTTTCTGAGGATGAGAAGAGCCAGCTAGGCAAATAACTGTAGAGAAAACCAACACATTGTCTAGTCCCACTGTTGAGGAAATGTCTGTATCCCCCATCTTGGAGAATGCCACTAGAAATAGCTCGGTGGTAAGTAAATGAATTAGACCACTTATTTAAACTGCTACTATAATAGAAATAAGACAAGAAAACTAAACTCTGTTTTAAAACAAATCTTTTTAAAAAGTTAATTATGTTAGTATACTTGGTAGTAATGTAAAATATCTGTTAGTAATATAAAATATCTAATAATATAAAACTAAATCTTTGTATTTTCTGCCACATAGAAGTTTCCTTGTAGTAAAGTTGCTTTTTTTTAATAAAAGTTAAATATACTGTTAAAAATAATTTGTACTAACTAATCCTAATAATCATTTAAGATAGAAAAGAGGCTCAAAAGCTTTTGGCTTCTAGGAAGAATTGCACACATAAAAGTGTGACTAATGCAAACAACCTAGGTAACTAGCAACCTTGCTATCATTTGAACAAAATAACGGTATGGTCTAGATTTTGAGCTGTGACTGAACAGAGGACAAGGGAACGGGGTGTAAAGCAGGAGGAGTGATACAGCATCATGTCTCCTGAGTTCTGGTCTCAAGGCCACCCATACAGGTCTGCCTTAGAGCTGCTCCACAGCTGCAACAGCCACAGCATTAAAGCCCCTCCCTGCCCTGCTTCACCTTTGCTCCTGTCCCATCATTACACTGTGGCAGCATGGTAGTGCAGTGTATGGTTGCATATATTGGCCCTATGCCATTTCTGTGCTGGGAAGATTCTCTCTGGGGTCGCTTCAGAGCCTCTGCAGCTCCTGTACACTGCTGGAGAGGTGGGCAGGGGCTACAGTGCTGACTAGACTCTGGCTCTATACCTGTCCTGAACTCTTTCTGCAACCGGTCCATAAAGTAATCCCCAAGACTATTTCTGCCATCTTGGGAACAGTCAAGCCTGCGAGCGTTGGTCAGCAGATCTCCCATCAGCTTGATCTTCCGGATTTTGGGCCCAATAAATTGTTTCTTGATAGTGCTTGCGCTATGAGGGTCTGCATTTTCAATACTCAGGGCATAAAGCTCTTCAAAATATCGGATGATAGTTTTCCACTGTACCATTGCTAATTCCAGGGCTTTCATCAGACAGACTGCATACTCACAGTTTGGTTTCTGAAAAAAAGACAGAATTGCATTTATTCAGAAGAACAGCTCATCTTACTGTATTCATTGATGGTTTCCTGCAACTTACCTAGCACTCTAAACAAGAGGTGCTAACGTTTTGCAGTAACTCCTCCTAGCTGGGAGCATCTGTTGTTTTTTGCAGAGTTGGATGGCTGTAAACATACAGAAGTGGCAGAACCCAAGCACTTTTTCAAGTAACAGAGATTTAGATAGCAGCAGCTATGCCTGAGGAGTGTTCTTACAGCAGGAAACCCTGTCATAGCTTCACAAGAATCATTTGGGTTGGAAGGAACCTTAAAGATAATCCAGTTCCAATCCCCCTGCCATCAGCAGGGACACCTTCCACTAGACCAGGTTGCTCAAAGCCCCATCTAAGTTGGCCTTGAACACTTCCAGGGAGGGAGCAGCCACAACTTCTCTGGGCAACATGTTCCAGTGTCTCACCACACTCACAGTAAAATAATTTCTTCCTAATAGCTAATCCAGATCTGCCCTCTTTCAGTTTAAAACCATTGCCCCTCATCCTTTCGCTAGACTCCCTGATAGAGTCCTTCCCCATCCCTCCTGTAGGTTCCCTTTAAGTACTGCTATAAGGTCTTCCCTGATTCAAACTGAATATTTAGGAAGTTTTTTGGGATGGCCTTTTTATTTTTACTTTCTACAGCTTAACAACTGCTATGATAGGTCAAAGAAGAGCATTGTGTATGAACTATTTACAGAATACTGATTTTCTAGAGGAGAATCAGCCCCTGGGTCTCTAACAAATGAGGTGGGTTCTTTTTCTTGATAACTTTGAGTTATTCCTTTGTATCTATGCAAGCCCAAGTCAGATCTCTAGTTCAGAGTCTATGTTGAGTTGTGCTCCAACAGATCAACTACTGCTCCAAGCCAGATGTTTCTCCTATTTCCTTCCTTACCATTTTTGGTGCCAGTGGCTTCTATTTAGTTTCAGTGTGAAGGAGACAAGTGGGCTGTTTCAGCACATTTAAAGGAGAGTCTCATAATCGATTATAACACATTTGAAACAGCACTCTCCAGCTGAGTGAAAGAAAAAGGGGACCATTGTTCATATTCTTTTGGGCTGGAAAGCAACCATGTAGAGTTAGGACTGACAGTGATGACAGTTTCTAGACATCACAATCAAGAACAAAACCATGTACACTAATATGACAGGGAATTCTATCTGGAACCCTAACAGTGGCTGAATGCAGAGATCTGAAAGTACCAACAATATAACGCAAGAAGTTAAGAGTAATTACTGCAGATTGCAACTGCTTGGAAGCTTGTTGTCTACTACCCACCTGGATGGTTTTAGAACAGTAATGGCCTCCTCTTTCTTGCTGATACTTCATCAAAGCCTCTGCGGCTTTTCTCTCTTCCAGAGCTTGATGTAAGAAGAACTTTGAGACATTTGGTAGAGCCACGTGCGACTGATCAAAATATTCACCCTAAGCACACAAAAAACAAGATTAAGGTTTGCTGGAGATGGGACTCACTTGCAGCAGACCATGGCTTTACCAGAACTCAAGAGACCCTTCCAATGGAAGCTGCTTTACCAGCACAATCACTTTGTGGAGCTTAATCCAAATTTCTGCAGTAAATGAAGTAAGTAGTTACAGTCTTAAATTAAAAAAAAAATCTCTATTCTTCTACTAGAACTCCTGTCCTTTAACACTGGGAAGGTAACTGCAGTACTGATGTTCTCAGCAGCAGTCAGAGATCCTCAGAATATTTTGCTTATGAATGGTTGGGAGGAGTGTTGCGTGGGGTTTTCTGTTTGATTTTGGTTTTTTAAACATTGTCCCAGCACAGGGAACATAAAATTTATCCCTTCAGGTCAGCATTCCAGTGAAAAGTTAGCTTTCAAAAGTGAGAGAATATATTTGGCAAATACCAAAAAGAACAAACACAACTTTGCATCTGTTTATCAGCTTCATGATGCATAATGTTACTCACAAATGAGGAGTACTGCCACATAACATTGTATGTGGCTCACGCCTAGGAATACTTCACAAGTATTAAAACCGTAAACCCACTGCAGGCCTGTTCTGTTCTATATGGGAAAGTAACAACTTTAACCACTGCAATATTTAACTATGCTAACAGGTCTGTCAGCTCTTACATTAGAAGAATTGTACTCATGGTATTGCTGTCCCATAAAGAGAATGTATTGGAAACAGGTATAGCAGAGGAGAGCCACCAGGTTGTACTAGTTTCATATTGGCTGTGCACAGCTCCGGTGTTGAGGAGAAGGAGAGGCAGCAGCTGGGAATATGCCAAGGACCAAACCGAGGGATCTATAGTGTCTTGATCTGCATATGCAATACAGCACAGCTTTTGTCTCTTGGACATAGTCTGGATTGCAGTACTGCATATCAAGCTGTTGGGAACAAGTTTTCCTGCTTATTGTCTTCTCTGCTTTAATCTATAACCCTGCTTAAATATGAAATCTTAAATATGAAATACTTGTTTCATCTGCGTTGCTCTGTTTAGAAAAAAATGCAGAAAAGTTATATACACAATATAAGTTTATGTTTTTCTCTTTTATTTTTATGGCCATCCGGGATACCCCAAACCTGTGACACATACAGATGTGTGACCATAAACCATTCAAGAGAAAGTACATACTGGAATGTTTGATTAAGAACATTTATTGCAATATTTGCATAATCCTTTTCCTGAAGTCATTCATTCACGTTTCTGTTGACAGAACAGTCAAGATTCAGTGTTCAGTTCCTCAGTGCAAGTGTGCTGTGTGACTTCAAGTAGAGCACAGGTTACCACATCTGATAACGGTTAAGGTAAATCTTTTATGTCTGTCATTAACTGTGAGGTACACATTTCTAGGTTTAATTCATCCACCATCAATTTCTAATTGAGCTTTCTCCCTCCAGCCCAGCTACCAATCACTACTATCATTTTCATCTGCACACTTAGCAAATAGAGGTTTTACTGCATACTTGAATTTTTATTGGACTAACACTTGACACAACACTTGATCAAAGGATCCTGGGGATATATTGAATATAGTTTGTGTTACTTCTCAGTGGATGCTTGGCATCAGAAGGGGTGGCATTGATCATTTCAGTTTTTTATTTTAATGGCTTTCTTAAAACATACGTTGCCATAGTATCTGGTATGTAGCCAGACACAATTTTAGCATGCATGTTACACAGTATTAAAGATAACTTTTTAAACCCACATCCAGTGTTCCTACCTGTGGAGCAGAAAACCCTAAGCCAAGAATGATGTTCATAAACTTATTTCATCAGTTAACCACAGACAGCTATTTTACCTACAAAGTTTGGGGAAAAAAACACCCAAGAGTTCCACTCCAAATCTATTAGTGTTCCCTGTTCCTCTTCCCACAGGCGTAACTCTGTGAATTACCCAAACCACAACAGTGCCTGCTTCATCCCCTGCTTGTTCCAGACCTTCCTCGTTGTTTTTCCAGCCATGTCAGCGGCCACCTCGGGGT